CCACCCCCACCCCATCCCCCCCAGTGCAATCCAAATCAACGTGTATCCCTGTCGACCAATCACAGGCTTCATCCTGGCTGATTTCATGTTATTACCCGGCAAACAAATATCTCCCAACCCCGGCCACATAAACGCACAAACTCTTTCCCCCTACTCGGGATCAATTTGTTGAATTCTCTCCTTTTGTCCGAGGTCGGCCGAGTGTTAAAAAGACAACTAGGGTCCGAGGCCCAGTGCCAGGACTTTTGGCATGGGATATTAGAGGCCTGATCTGGGCATCTGTCATGGCCCCCCGTCTTCCCTCATGTCGCCAGAGAGCTCTCTTATTTTTTTGCGCCCCTAAGTGGTACATGAAAGAATCACTTCATTAAATGTTCAAGTGCCATAAAGTTGCAGTGGTGAAAATTTATTTTTTTATGTTTTGAATCACTAAATAATGATTAGATAGATAGATAGATAGATAGATAGATAGATAGATAGATAGATAGATAGATAGATAGATAGATAGATTAGTAATTCCAGCACAGAGTTGATATCCATACATGTTTTATTTCATTGGATTCAATTTACTCTTGTGCTGTAATTTATATTGCGCATTTCAGGTAACTCAATGGACAAAAATAAAAGGACAAAATACCGAAATAAAAGAAAGATACATTAAAGAATACAGTACAGCGTTTTTTGTGTTGCAACTGCACTGTCTGGATATGCGTTAACTATACTTTGTCTCCATCTAGCGGCAAATATTTGCATTGCAATACCAGCATCATGCGATGACAGGCACAGCACAAGAAACAGAAAGTGAATTAGTTGGGTACAGTCAGAGGTGGGTCGAATAGCCAAAAAAAAAAAATTGTACACACTTAAAAGTACTGTTACTTTGAAATAATATTATTCTCGTAAAAGTAAAAAGTAGTCCTCCAAATAATTTCTTGAGAAAGATTAAATACGTATTCAATGAAGAGCTTTACATAATTAAAAGTAAAACAGAAGAATTTAAAAATAAAAGAACGAAAGATATTTAAAGGACAAAATACCGACGTAAAAGAAAGATACATTAAAGAATACAGTACAGCGTTTTTTGTGTTGCAACTGCACTGTCTGGATACGCGTTAACTATACTTTGTCTCCATCTAGCGGCAAATGTTTGCATTTGCAATACCAGCATCATGCCATTCCAGGCACAGCACAAGAAACAGAAAGTGAATTAGTTGGGTACAGTCAGAGGTGGGTCGAATAGCCAAAAAAAAAAAAACTGTACACACTTAAAAGTACTGTTACTTTGGAATAATATTACTCTCGTAAAAGTAAAAAGTAGTCCTCCAAATATTTTCTTGAGAAAGATTAAATACGTATTCAATGAAGACTACTCAAGTACTGAGTAACTGATGAGTAACTTGTGATGGTAATTTTCCCACCCACCAGAGCAAAAATAAATTAATAAAACTTAAATATTGCTGTGCAAATTCAAAAATCGTCCAACAATGTCACTGTAACTAAAACTGACTGGCAAAAATGGCTGCATGAAGAAGCTTCATGTTGACCCTGTTTATTGATCAAGTAATGGCTTTTTCGTAACCAGTTTTTTTTGATAGTTGCACTACAATAGCTGGTGTGTGTGTGGGTGGGGGGGGGGGGGGGGTGGGGGGGCCCCAACAACGAACTTGGACTGAAATATCCATTTTTTCGGCAGACACAGAAGACAGTTCATGACGAAACTGTTATTTTTCGCCCACTAAAATTTGAACGCCGACTTGATGAATTCAGACGAGCCCGCAAAAAGACTTCCTGCAGTCATATGACTGCCTTCCTCTGTTTGATTGGTGAAATGACGTCAAAGGTCACTCGTGACTACGTTTGATTGGCGAACGGCAACCGAGCAGGAAGTCTCAACAGACATCCAAAATAAATACATTAATTGATTAATATAAAAAAAGGGTCGCGCAAGCATTAATTAAAAAATGGATTTAAAAAAATTAAAGAGGGAAAAAACTTAAAAGGAGTAAAAGTAAGCTTTCTTCTCAACATTCAAGTAAAAAGTATTGGAAGTACAATTTATCCCAAAAGTTATTGAAAGAAATGTAACGGTGTAAATGTAGCGCGTTACTACCCATTCTATAGTACATACCAAAAACAAGCACTGTATGTACATGTGTTTATTTTCTTGGGTTAACTTAGAACTTCCTGTTGTGTTCCCAGTATTTTATACAGTGTATACAGTATCTGTAAACATTTATTTTCTTGCATTGTAGTTTAAACTTCCTAATGTATTCCCAATATATTATACATAGAACGTTTTGCATTGCCTGGCGCATTTGTGAAATACTGTAATGAATCAGGGAGGTCGATAAAAAAAAACCTTTATGGGAGGTCAAATGCTAAAGAATGGGGAGAAAAGTATTGCAGACTTTTTTATTTGGAAGAATAAGCCACTTGAAATCTTGCTGGCAACAATGAGCAGGGAGAGAACTTTATACAGTTTGCTGTATACTGTACATATAAAAATATCAAGTCATTTCTTCATTCGATTAAAAATGATGTTCTGTCTTCGAAACATCCCACCCACTTTCACAGTACATTCACTTATTTCTAACCGTATTGGTTCACTGTGTTGGCAAGCGATGATCGTAATCGGCTCAACTTGTATGGAAATGTTTCATCTTCATTTGCCCAGTCAGCAAGTAAAAACAGGCGAAAGGTTTCAGTGGAAAGAAAGGTGCACCATTTCTGGTCAGAGTAACATGTTCCACAACGCAAGTGTGTCAGGCATACTAAATACTCCGCCTATAATTGCCAGTTGGGAGAGTGAGGATGAGCGGTTTGTATAATGGATGGATGGACATAACATGACTAAATGTGCCTAAAACGTAACTTCACATAGTCGTTCATTTGTCGTGGACTTTGTCTTTCGACACGACAGATATAATTGCTTTCATTTGGTCGCCGTATATGCTAACCAGGCTGTTGGCATGCTCAAAAGAAGCCGAAATGATCTTCAACTTGTCACTTGTCAATCTACTCTGGAATGATTTTGTCACAAGGCAACAGAGGACTGACGCCCACTCTCTTGGCGCATTCATTCTGAAAGGAAACAAAGAAATGCCAGAGTTAGAACAAAGTATAGAAACAATCCACTTGTGTAAATTTCAATTATCCTGAGACAAAAGGAAACTGCAGCTGTAATAAAAGAGATTCTTCCATTTAATTTCAAAAATCAACTCACTCTTGAACACAACTTAAAATGGCTTTACTGCCTTGTCCCTCCATTTTGATCATCAATTTAGTGGTCGTAATTCTGAAGTTGTCTCTCAAAACCCAACAAACAATAAACAGTTATGAAGAGAACGTTCTCAGCCGGAATGGCGTGTGACCAACGCCGAGTGTTTCTGCAGTTACCCCTGAACTCCAGCAAGTGGCGGTGTTGTTCACAAAAAGCGAGCTATTCTGGGGGCGGTGACATTTGGATTTATTGAATACTGTTTACTTAAAATATTGTTTAAATGTTTATATTGAAGATTGTTTATTTTAATGTATTCAAATGTATTTGTTATTTCATGTTTCATAACCATGCTCGAATTAATCTCAACTCACTGTTATGTTTAGTGCACATGAAAAAAAAAAAATCCATCCGCAGCTCTAACAAAGTGTGGTACATCATTAATATAAAACCGAAAGCACAATCTACAATAATAAGAATAAGAATAAGAATAAGAATACCGATTGTGTGATATTATTAAATATTATTATTATAAATATATATTTTTTCAATTAGAAACTCAAATCAACTCAACTCAAATGTATTTATACAAACTCCTGCAGTGCCTCCACTGTGTGATAACAACGCGATGATGCTGATTTTTGATTGGGACATGCTTGCTCCTACCATGTAATTGACGACATTGATGTGGTATGAGATGCCGCCTAGCTTCTCACACTTGGCGATGTTGGCCCTCTCGGGATCTCCGGCAGTCAGAACAGGAGCGTCGGGATCAGCCTGCAGTACAAAAACAACAAAAGTGTATTCATTTTGTTCTTTCTTTTTAGATGTGTTTCATTTCCAAATTGCTTTCATTTTCATATTTATTCACATGTTAACATTTTATATCTTGTTCATTTTTGTTTGTCTGTTTCCTGCCGCCTCTCCCAGGTCCTGATGCCCTTGAACTCAAGCACTCACAGGTTCTAGTCCTCTCTGAATGGCCAAGAGGTCCGCCATGCGGGTAGTGAACCCGGGAGCGAAGTTCTCTGGGTTGATTGCCACGAAACACTGACCCTGCGAAACACACACACACACACACACACACACACACACACACACACGCACACACACACACACACACACACACACACACACACACACACACACACACACGAGCCACTTGGTTATGATGCTGAGGAGTTCAATGGCCCAAAACAAATAGCTAAAACATTCATTGGGTTAAAGCAACATGACATAGGTTGAATTTGCTTAACCCTGACATACTGCTCATTTTCCATACGGACGGACTGTACACGCAGCCAGCTTTGACTGTACACGTAGCCAGTCTTAGTTCCTCAGTAAGCTGCATTAAAAATATTAATTCTCTGAAGAGGATAAAGAATATACGCCCATTTTTCTTCATATAATCCACACTGGCATAGTCAATTTTACTTGACAAACTGAACCCATTTACACAACTTTGGACCACCTGTACAAAAGTCCAACTTTTGACAAATATTTTCATCTTTACGTATTTTTGGTCACTTTATGAAAAAAATATTTTTAAAAGTACTGACATATAAGGTGTTTTTATTGCTGTCAGATGTCAAGAATGTAAACCAAAAGGTATGTCGGGGTTTTCGGTCAATGGTTTTCGCAACAGAAATCACAAAATAGTCTACAGTTCGTGCCATTTTCCTTCCTCGGTTACAACATCAAACGGGAGTGAGCCTCAATATTCCAAGTAACACTGTAGAAAACTGGACCACTTACCAAGTCTGCAACCCTGTCGGTCACTTTCCATGTGCGGACGTGGTTGCTGTATTTGGCACCAGCCAGAATACCGCAGAACACCTCCACCATCATTCCAAGTCCGTAACCTTTGTACCCACCTGGACAACAACAACACACACACCCACAATGGTAAACTTCAGTTCATTTCACACTTCACTAGGTTCACACAAATGTGGTTCAATAGAAGGAATGGACCAAAGTGCCTTTTAGACTTTTAAAAATGCTCACGTAAGGTGGCCATTTAACATTGTGTTTATTTTTACCATACCAATAAAGTAATTGATTTGCTTCCTTGTTATTATTCTTTGGCTAAACAGCCATTTGGAAAGCTTCCACATACTACATAAGCTGTTCTTCCTGGCTGAAAATGGACAGTTGGTAGCTGTGGGCCGGACCTCCAAAATTGGCTCAGGAATGTTGTGAAATTTCAGCCCCCAAAGTTTCACATACCAACATGAAATTTGGTAGGCTCAGCAATCATGAGGAGACCCACAAAAAAAGTCTCCAAAAGATACGCCTAAGAAGACATGGGAAACCTGCGATTGTGGTTTGAATGGACATGTGACACGGGCTAATTTTGGCCGTTTCCAGAGATCTTTGAAAAGTTGACTCCTCCCAGAGTTTTTGCCTGAGTGCAACCAAATTCGAACCATGTATACTAGACAGACGCGCAACATTAAAATGCAAACGTTTTGGATTTTAAAATTTGTGTGCAGGCGAAGCATGTTGGCAAAGCAAATTTTCAGCTCATGAGCGTTTCAAATTTCGCTTAGCATCATGACATTTGGTGAGCTTTTCTATCATGAGTAGACCCACCAAAAAGTCTCAAGAACACATGTCGGAAAAGCAACGGGAAGTCTGTTATTTTGGTTTAAACGGCCGTTTTGGGATCATTTTGGTCACTTCAAGGCAAATCCGATCTGTCCTTGTGCTACTAAATGCAAGCAAGCCACATACACCTGACAGATGGGAAACACTAAAGAAAAGTTTGTGTCTTTGCCGTGGCGTATGGCAGGAGGATGGTGTCAAAGTCACATCATGGATGGGCGGCTACAAGACGATGATTGATGATGAAGTCCTGTTTATTGCTTATTCAGATTATGCAGGTGTGTAAGTGACATAAGGATTTTTTTTTTTTTCCGCCCAAGTGCTATTCATGCCATTAATAGTAACGGCAGTCAATAAAAGTGTGCAGACCTGTGGCCTCGCTGCCACCGATGGGAACCAAGCCGCCTCCGTTCAGAACTTGCTTGGGGTCGGCGGTAATCTTGCCGTGGGCGTCGCAGCCCCATCCCTCCGGGATACTGTCACCACGACGCTCGTGCAGCTCCACCTGTGTACATATGCAGCAAAAATGCGTCACGCCAAACACAAAGATGTGCCCTAGGGAAGTCAGGAAGGAACACCAGTGGAAATTTTTTGTCGTAAGGCAAGAAAAAAAAGGCAGTGTCAGTTTGGAACCTTTAAATATACGTTAAATCGGGTAGTTTTAATCCCAAAGAGTTGTGAAGTGAAAAGGAGGACATTTGATTTTTGACCTGGCCCAACTGTATTGGTTACTGTGAAGAGAATATGTCCCAAAAGTGCATGGCAATCGTTTAGCTTTTAATACTCTCAAGGTAATATTTTACATTTATAATGTAATTTTTAAAAAATAAATAGAACTATAAAATTCCGGGACCACCTGCATTAGTCGCAGGTCTGCTTCACGCAACGTTTAAGGACTTTGTAAGCTTCAATGTACCGTGCTGTGACTCCAAATTTTTCTTCAAAATTGATGTTGTTTATTATTTGTTAAAGTTAGATAACACTTTGTCGACAGAACTTAAATATTTTAAATATTATCACTCCCCCCCCCCCCCCCCCCCCGATGTAAATCATTTGCCTTTTCTACGCTGTTCCAATTTGGACTCGCTGTACTCACTTTTCCAAGGGCGACTGCGGACGTCGCCATGTCCAGGACGAAGCTGTCACCATCTTTGGACGGAGCTGCCACACTGAGAGGGTTGGTGCCTAAGGTGCACTACAAACAACAGCTCGACTAAATCAAGACACGATATGAAATAATCGACTATATTACGGGAATACAGTACAAACGCTCACTCACCTCTTTCCCGCGGGTGGGGACCACCAGTGGGGACGTGTTGGTGAAGGACATTCCCTATGTTGGAATCATGAGCACTTTGTTTAGATAAACCCGAGACAGCAGTTGGACTTTGAGACATTTTTAAACTCACAATCATGTTCTCCTTCAGAGCTTGCATGGCGTAGTAGCCGGCGATGCCATAGTGATTGGAGCCTACAACAGACATGTCGAAATTATTGTCCATTCCTTATGAGGGGAAAATATCAACATAACATTGGATGATAGCGGTATCTGTTGTGGTGCAGATAAATTGCTATAGTACCAGATAATCTCAACATTTTGGCTGTTTGACGTCCAAGAGTGTCCACTTGTTGACATTTCTATGTCAACGAGTGGCATTCACATTATCTAATATGAATGTCTTTATTCGTCCTGGGTTACAGATGAAGGATTACACACTCAAGAGGAATTGAATGGAGTTACTACCCCATACGTTTTCAAGGTTTGTGCAATTTGACTTGATTGTGTCATGACAATATTGAAGTTTCTGTTGTTTTTTTTTTTAAATACAGCATAAGTCACCTGTTTATTGTTTAGTTTAACAAAACAGCTAACACAGCTAGCATGTACTATTGAGCAAAAACTAGCATTAGCATTGGTTTTCAATCCTGTTTCCGTAATTACAGCAACACCTGAAATGAATTATTAGTGCATTCAAACAAAATGTAACTTCCTTTATTCAGTAGTAAAGGATTTATTCAGCAATTATTTTTGATGACGTGCTAATTGGGTTCCTGGGTATCGACAACAGGACTGCTCCAAACACGCCAAAATAAATGATATCGCGAATAATATCTCCTGAAAAGTGTACCGTTAATGGTTAAGTAGAAAGAAATCAAAAATATTATTTATTAGCTGCTTTTCTTGCAAATGTGATCCACCCCCCCCACACCCTTCCACCCAAAAAAAAAACTTGGTCCTCCAACTCAGGCGTGACCCATTAAACAATAAAAACAGTTTTTCTTTTCAGGCTTCTCACCGTGCGCCACCACCCAGCCGATGCCTACTTCTTTGGCCTTCTTGATGGCCAGATCCATGCAGAAGTTCCCCACCACGGGGCCCAGGAGGTTCTTCCCGTTCACGAGCGCCGTGGCTGGACTCTCCTTATCGATGACAGGCTCCCCATCCTTGGCGCAGATTCCCGTCTGAATGTCTTTCACGTACATATCTGTCCAAAAAAATAGCACAAAATGCAATTTCAAGACTGATGATGGTTGATTTGTGCGCGGGATGTGTGCCTTAGGGGGCGTGGCCTCATGAGTGACATCAAGAGTTGGTCTGTGTGTGAGCATCTGGGTGTGAGTTACGGCCTACAACAGCTCGCTGCAAGTGGTCTCATTTTGTATTTCTTCTATTGAGTAAATGGATGAAAGTGCTGTGCTCTCCTTGCCCATATATGAAGGCATAACAATACCAATATCAAATGTGTAGAGCGGTTGCGCTCGGCTAAACTGACCCATCCTGTTGAGCCCGTGGCTGTAGTGACCCCTGTGGTCGCCCTCCACCAGAACCTCTGCCAGGCTGCGGGCATGATGCTGCTTTGTGCCCACCGCGACCATGCACCTCTCGATGAAACTCTGCACCTCCTTCTGGCTAATCAAACACCTACACACAATGAGAGAGACAGAAGTTCAACGCTAGAAATGTTCCAACCTGAAACGTTTTTTTCAAACGGGAGTGCATTGGGTTAAAAAAAAAAAAAAAATGACTGACTGCAACGCAATGTACATCTGCAGTGCTGCAATGTGTCCAAAAAGATGATCACGCTGTTACATAACATTCTCACTGGAAGTCATCAGAGCGTTTACAGCAACTACTTTTGTTCTTTATAGCTGGTGTGATTCTAATCATAGAATGGTAGCTGGAGGATCATCGCGCATCGGATGACGTGCGTCGGACAGAAAGGACTCTTTCTTTTGCTTTTTACGCCGTCCAGCAATGCAGTCACATGAAAGCCCTCAAAAGTGCATTTGACCTTGGTCGGTTATCAGCAACAGAATTTCCCATTGACTTTGAAATAAAATGGCAACTAGGCAAAAGTTTTCGTAGCATTGTGGGCCCTATTTTTGTGCCCAGTGCAACTCTTGCACAAAGTGCAATCTAGCTGTGCATATGGGAGGAGCTTTATTTTTTTTAATGTATTTTCATAGATGGGCCCAAGTAGAAATGCCATTTGCGCCGTTGTGGGAGTGAACACAACCAACTTTTTTATTTTTTTTTTATGTATTTTCGTAGATGGGCCCTAGTAGAAACACCATTTGCGCCGTTGTGGGAGTGAACACAACCAACTTACTTCGTGATTAATGAAAGTCCAAGTAGAAGATTTACGAGCTCAAAGTATATTTATAAGGAGCTGCAAGAAGATCTTCACTTGCGGATCATGTTAAGTTGGGCGGGGCGATCACAGATCACCGTTGTGAAGTGGGCACTTGGAGACCGCCTTAGACCCCAATTGTTCATTCCCAATAGCTGGGCTGTGTTTTAAAAAATAAGAGAAAACGCTGCAAGAAGATCACCGTTAGGAAAGTGGGCACTTGGAGACCGCCTGAGACCCCAATTGTTCATGCCCAATAGCTGGGCTGTGTTTTAAAAAATAAGAGAAAACGCTGCAAGAACTACTTTGTTTAGGTGAATAAATTCTTTGAAGACTCAAAATTGTCTATAAGTGTGACTGTGAATGGCTGTTTGTCTACAGGCGTCCTGCGATTGTCCGCCGTTAGTCAGCTGGGATTAGCTCCAGCTCAGCTGCGATCCAACTTGATGATAAAAGCTATTTAGCCTCTTTCTGGAATGACTTTTTGCAGCCTTCTTATTGCTCAAATAGTCTCTTTGTTTATCTCAATTTGTGGAAGGACATCTCGCCGCGAGCTTCAGGCCTTATCGCCTTTGTCCGACTTTCCCAATGTTTTTTTTTTTTTTTCTCCTTCTCTGGTCTTAACGTTCCACAAAAACATTCCCGATGTGGGCTCTGCGTCAAGAGGTCATAAAACGCCTCTGCTCTCTCCCTGCCGTCACATGCTTGACAAACGCCAGTTCTCTTGATCTGCACCAGATGCAGCCTGTTATGTCACGAAGAAAAAAAATAACATTTGAAAGATAAGCGCTCTCAAACAACAGCAAAAAAGACAACAAAACAAAATAAAAAAAGCACAAAAGTGCTATTAAGCAACGCAACGGAATCTCTTGAGATCTTTCCTCCTCCGTTCGTCTATTGTTTTTGTCGACCTTTTAGGGGTGCTTGGGAATGTCGTAAATTTTAGGAATGCGCACAATCGCATCCAGATGTCGACTGTGGCGAAAGTTGGCAACGACGAGAGCACATCGTTTTCAAGAAAACATTGCGTTCTGCACCGTTTCCTCTTGTTTTTTTTGAGCCAACTGGTAATCATGTGACTTTCTGGTTTTGCTTATTAGCTCATTGAGTTTTCAATGTGAAGAAATCAAAACAATGCGCTAAGGAGTGATACAAGGAGTGTCATTTTTTGCTGAGAAAACTCCAGAAAGAAAGAAAAACACACCCCATCTTCCTTCAATTGTGAGTTTTATTTTTTTGTGGAGCGCCGCCAAATAAGACTGGAGCTGCTGCTTTGTATCGAGTTGATGAAAGTATCACAACAGGGTTTTTGGGCGTTGGGAGTTGAAGTCGTTGCATGTGGTTTTGATTTTGAACGCCTCGCATGAAGGGAGCAAACACACGGAACGCACAAACGTGTACGTGTGTAACATGAGCGCTAGCAGGATGTTTTTTTTGGGGGGGCGGGGGTTGGGGGTCATGAGCGTCCTAACGCATAACAGCACTTGTGGCACGACGAGGGTCCCAGTGGAAACTTATGCAATATCTTACGTAAGTCAAGAGGTGAAGGCTCACTGACTCATTTTATGGTTTCGCATACAGGAAGTGAAATACGAGTAAAGAACAATGACTGTGTTAGTATTTGCTGAGGAAAGGGTGTGACCGTATTCCCCCCCCCCCCTCCTGACCCCCTACCCTAATTTGCTCCTAATTAGTGTCCCTCAGCGGACATTACAAAACAAAAAAAAAAAAGCTTCCCCGCAAAAGCGCTACTCATGCTAGCAATGGTAATGCTAACAATAGCTTTTTTTTTTTTTTACAGTGATAGTATGTGACAAACTACACATACTTTGTTTCTTTCTTTCAGTTATCAGAACGTTTTTAACAACTTTTTACTTTTTCTCCAGACATTTGAAAACAGCTATTGTTACATTTCACACCTTACTTTGTCAAAATACGTTTTTCAACCTCGTGGATGAGAACACGACATTAAAAAAAAAAAAAAAAGGACGGAACTATACTATCGTCATATCTGAGAATCGTTTTTTTTTTTTTTAAATTAAAAGACAGGTTAATACAGGAGATCAGTTTGAAAGGTGTTTGTAAAATGTTGACCCTCTCATGGATCTTCAGTACCCGAACCAAACCTAACGCAGTGATTCACAAACAAGCGGTACACCAGCTCCCTCTAGTGGCATGCAAAAGAATCACTGAATTAAATGTTCAAACGATGCATAACGCTACACTGGCTCAAACTTTTTATTAATCCAGTAAATTTTATTAAACTTTTAGGAACAGCATATTTGTATTTGATCTTTTGCAAAGGTTTGTTTAGCTATGTGCATTTTTTTTGGTTGAACTTTTATCAGCATCCATTTTAATTTAAGTGCTATTTTTTTTTTAACTTTCCTATTTCTTAAGCTCAATGTTACTGTTCAAACTCTGCATAAGCGAATTTCTGTTTGTTGGCAAAGCGTCACTACACTAGCTCACATGGCCTGCCTCTCTGACAGTGTGGACGAAGAAAGAACTTTATTACGAAGCCACAAAGAATCAAAAAGATCAAAGTAACTTTGGTACGTAACAAACAACACTCAAACTATTCGATGATCACTTAGGCCCACTGTGCTACTCTTTAATGTGTTGGTGCTTGGTGTGGAAAGTTTGACAACCACTGACCTTTCTCATGTATACATTCGATACATGCTCTGAGGGAAGTGATAACATTGCCAACCATGCATAGCTTTGTCGGGGCAACATTTGATCACACGGAGGTCGTGCGGGTGTGCCTCATGCTGTCAAACAGGGCGTAACCGGAGGTAACGCAACACCCAAAGACTTCAGTTAAGTCGTAAAATTCGAACAAGGACAATGTGTGTGCACAAGTATGCGCAGACATGAGCGGAGGAAGCAGAAATGGGGAAGTTTGTATGCATAAAGCATCAAAATGAAACCACCATGCATGTTAATATTTTTACCGTTCAGGCTAAAAAAAAGAAAAGAAAAAAAAAAAGCTAAATTGATTAAAATCCAAATGCAGGAAATGAGCAGTGATTACATGCGTGCGA